GTTGGTTTGGGGCTGTGGTTGCTCTCGGGCTACTGAGCAACGATGGGGTCCCTCCTGCTTCTGCCTGGCGGCTGGCGGCAGAGACCCTGGGGTGGGAGGCGGTGAGCAGAGGCTGCAGCTGGGCGGGCGCCCCGCGGGAGGTCGTGGGGGAGGCGGGAGCCAGGACCGGCAGGAGGGTCAAGGTCGGGGCAGCGCTGAGCGGAGTGCTAGCGCCCGAGCTTGGTGCCCCTGCGGCGGCTTTTTTTACTGGAGGAGGCAACAGGCGAAGGGACAGCGGGAGGCGCCGTCGTGGACTTGAAGATTTTGGCAAAGAGAGACCCGAGGTCCAACACAGCAAGCTTCATGCCTTGACCTCGGAAATGCTGTCCGCGCTGCGGCCTGGACCTCAAGACCACCGGGAGGCCGGCTGTCAGGCTCCATCCACCGCCACCCCGCGGGGATCGAACCGGGTGGACCCGGGCTAGGATGAGGACCCTGGGGTCTCCGTACACTGCGGAGTCAGGGAGGTCGCTGGTTCTCTCCCCGCGGAGCAACCTTCTCCTGCGCTCAGCTCCACTCAGCTGCAGACTGGTCTTCCCCGACGCCCGGGGCCGCCCGCGGTGCTCAGCTGTAGGTGTAGGTGGCTGCGGCGGGTGTCGCCCACCAGCGCAGGGTGCATGCCCTTCTCTGCCCCGGGGCTGCGGGACCCCGAGAGCCAGGCCCGGGAGACGACCCGGGCCGGGTAACCACGTCTCTCCTCCTGCCAGCGCCACCGGGCGCAGAAGTGCAGATTGCCTGAGACACCCGACGGCCCGGCTGGCCCCGGAGCAGCAGGCGGTTGCTAGGCTAAACAAAAACCCAGCTAAGCTCCCAGCTAATTGGGCCCCAGACTGCATCTGGGCCCAGTCTGCTGTGGACACCCTGGCTCCCCTCCTTCACGCATGCCTTAAAGGAACAGTGTCCAATTTCTCCACCACTCCAGGAACTTTGCCAGATTCGCCAAGCTCAGGGTTGAGGCTGAGGAAGTTGAACAGGACCCTGAAAAAAATCATCTCCCAGAATCCTGGGACTTCTCTAGTCTAACAAAGTTCGGTGTGCTAAATGGGTCAGGGCTACTTCTCTAAGGTGAGAAAAGGTGGACAAAAAAGATGTTTTCAGGTGAGTAACCTTGAAACAGCAGTGACCACTCCAGGGTTGTGTGTGAGGCATGTCTTTAAGAAAGACATATGGGAACAGCAGCGAGGTGCTTCCACCAAGAACCTGGAAATAAAATTGGGCTTTGAGAGCTAAACTAGTAAAACCCACAATATATGCGGCTAAACAGCACGTGGAGTGAACCATGAAACTATGTAACTAAAATGTTTCAGAAAAACTATAATCAGATGAACTGAAACTAACCTCAAACTCAAAGACAGACATGAAAAATATGAGTTTTATTAAGTGGGATAAACTGCATTTTCTTTCTTTTTTTTAGAGAGAGAGATTTTTGCTATAGGGCACGTGTGCTCTCTGGAGAGACAGAGAGACAGAAAAGAAGAAATCACCCCCCTCCTCCAGGGGGGTGGCCACGTGCAATCTGCTCTCCTCCATTCTCCTCAGGATTGGGCACGCATTCCCAGGCACCTGGCATGAGTTTAAGCCACTGGGTCTGGGACTCGAACCATGGTCAACGTGGGAGTCCAGTGATGTAACCGGTAACCATTATGCCATCTGCTGGTCCCTAAATTGCATTTCCTTAATTTGAAGAAATAGCTCTGAAAGGGAGAGTGTCTGAGTGTGAATATTTGCAGGTGCATCGGTTCAGTTTTGAACAAGTTTAGAAAATAATATGCAGACAAAATGTAATTATTACTACTGAGGGAGGTTTCAGTGGGTCTCGAGAGCTCCACTTGCTGATGTGAGGCAGGGAAGGGAGACGACTGGGTCTGGTGGTAAATATGTAAACTGCAGGCTGCTGCAGGGGTGTGTCGGTTATACCCTTCAATCTCGTGTAGGTTGTCAGACGGGATTCTGAACCACGGTAAATTTCCATGGCGATGCCAAGCTTTCTATTTTCTTGTAGCCAGCTAGTCAATGATAACCGCTTCCTGCCATGTTCCCTTTCCTGTAGCCAAATACCGAGTACTGTGCGAATATCATGCTGGGCACTTTTCTACTTCAAGACTGTGCTAAGTATTGAGATGCAAACAGGAGACCGTTCTCTTCCCGAAACATGGGATGGCAGGCTTCCTTTCCCCTATAGTGTCAGGTGAGCTCCCCAGCCAAAAATCACAGTCGGTATAGTCAGCATTAGCTTGGGAAAGCAGAACATTCCTGTGTACCATGGTCCCCCTTTACCCATGGGATGTATGTTCTAAGACACCCAGTGGACGCCTGTAACTGTGGATAGTACTTGAGTCCTAAATAGACGATGCTTTTCTGCACATACAAACCTGTGAGAAGGTTTAATTTACCAACGAGGCACAGTCAGAGATGGGTAACCATAACTCATAATAAAACAATTATGACGATAGACTAAAAAACCTTATGTGAAAGTGGTCGCTCAGAATATTTTCAGACCATGGTTGACCACCAGTAACTGAAAGAGTGAAGAGCAAAACCTTGGATAAGGGGAGTCCTGTAAGAGACTCGGTCTATAAGGGTCAGATTATAAAGGGCCCTGATGACTAAGTGGTGAGGCAGCGGCAGCACCATCAGGGATGGTGCTGGGTTCAAGTTCCGGAAATCACTGAGCATACGCAGCAGCCCAAAGTAGTCAGCTGGGTTGGGGGGGGGTATGTGGCACAAGGACCCTGTTGGAGTGCCTATGTCTCTGTCTCTCATGGAAGAAATGAATACACTTTTTTAAAAAGGGAGGGTTTGGGAGAGGCATGAGCATGCAGCGTCAGCAGGTAAAACACCAGCTCATGGTGGAAAACTACACTGAGAGAAAGCGGACTAGAGCCATCATGGAAATGAGAGGTAGACACCTCAGGGACAAACCGGGACCTGGCACCCACTCCACCAAACTCAAGGGCATGGGAAGCAGGCTGGTGTTGAACCTGCAGTGTTCTGTATGTCATCATCATTCCTGTTTTGCAGCAACTCACCTCCAAAGGGTCCCTTTGGGCTATTTTCATTCAGCACTCATTCAAGAGCACAGAGCAACGACTTAAATGTTTGTGCCTTTGTTTCTTTCACAAGGATCTTGACTCTGATTATTTATTTATTTATTTTTTGCTATAGGGTGCGTGCGCTCTCCAGAGAGACACAGAGAGACAGAGAGACAGAAAGCGAGAAATCACCCCCCAGGGGGGATGGCCACACCGCAATCCCTTCTCTTCCATTTTCCTCTCTGGATTTTGGGCATGCATGCACATGTGTCCAGTGTGAGTTTAAACCACCGGGTCTAGGACTCGAACCCCAGTCGACTACATGGGAGTCCAGCGACATAGCCATTACGCTAACTGCTGGTCCCGACTCTGATTATTCATAGAACGATGAAGTCCTTACTGTATTAGGTCACCATCAGTGCACACAGAGATCATTTGTGGAGTATATGCTTTCAGTGTGTAAGACGGATCACGTGTCTGATGCTGGACACATGTAATGCCATCAGAAGGGACAGGCAATGAGGGAGAGCCACTGTAGCCGAAGCCTGATTCAACTCACCCAGTTCTTTGGCAGTAACCCGTGTTTGTTGCCTCATCGCAGGAGTCCTGATTTTTCAGACTCAGAAATCTGATGGGCCCATGCCCTTCACAGCTGACTAGCCCCCCAGGCTGGAGTCCCACTACCTTGACTCTTAGAAGAATGATGCTTGGGCCAGCCAGTGATGGGGTGGTTAAGGTGGCTGGATCCCACATGACTGACGGTACAGTTAGAGTCCCAGACCCAGCGAATTGAAAATCATGTCAAGTCAGGTGCATGTGCGTGCATGCCCAGGATCCTGAGAGGAGAAAGGGGAAGGGATTGCTGTGTGACCATCCCCCTTGTCCCGACCCGGGGGGACAGCCGAACGGGTTTCCTGAGTGAATGAGTGAGAGCCGGGGCAAGCAGCGTAGTGTTACAGCACGGAGACGACAGTGTCGTCTGTTTATTGTGGGCAGCACGGTACAGCACAGAGACGACGCAGTGTCACAGCTCTTAAGGGTCGCGTCGTCTACTGTGAGCAGCACGGAGACGACGCGGTATCACAGCTCTTCAGGGTCGTCCGGAGACGATGTTGTAGTAGTAGTAGCTGTAGTGTTACAGCTCTTCAGGGTCTCCCAGTTCGTCTGGAGCCGATGCAGTGTCAGCTCTTCAGGATCTTCAGGGTCGTCTGGAGACTGCGCGGTGTTTCAACTCTTCAGGCTCTTCAGTTGTCATCTTCCTGGTTGTCGTCATCATCGTAGTCTGGCTACTGTGGGCCAGGCATTGTGGTTATATACACTCCAGTGGGTTGTAAACGGTGGGCCCTGATTGGTTGTTAACGGTGGGCCCTGATTGGTTGTTAACGGTGGGTTATGACTGGTTGCTTTTGGACCAATCATGAGGTGCCGGATATGCAAATTTGAGGGATTCTAGTGGCCAATCAGAGCAAGGTTTCGAAGGTCAGGTTTTTGGAAGGGAACCAATCATGGTAATTGTTTGCTCTCTGAGAAACCTCGGCAGACTCGCTGGTGTGCAGCTTCCCACACCCCCTGAGGGCTGATTTCTCGCTTTCTCTTCCTCTCTTCCTGTCTCTCCAGTGAGCTCACAGGCCTTATATCGCTATAGTATAAAATATTAAAAAAAATACTGATAAGGAGAGTTGTGACTTCTGCTCTCCCTATGAGAGAAATTCCTGTAAAAACAAATTAATTTGGGGACCAGCAGATGGCATAATAGTTACATCACTGGACTCCCACATGGCTGAACAGAATTCGAGTCCCAGACCCAGCAGCTTAAAACACACTGGACACCCGTGCACGTGTGCCCAAAATCCCGAGGGAGGAATGGAGAAGGGATTGCAGTGTGACCATCTCCCTGGGGAGAGGGTGAGTTCTCTCTTTCTCGCTGTCTCTCTCTCTCTCTGGCAAGTGCACACACCCTATAGCAAAAATCTCTCAAGACAAAAGCAAAAACAAATTAATTTGAATGACTGTAGGTGATCATGGAATTAAACCGGGGGAGTCAGTGCTGTGTGCTGTGTGCTGTGTGTATTGTCATGTATACAGGACATCGTTCACAGTATTAGTATCAGCATGCCCCTTTCCACTGGTAGGAGCAGCCCCACGGGATCAGTGGTGCGTTCCCCCAGCTATCTTCCGCTCTCTGCCTTTAGAGATTTCTGCTTCCATGTCTATCCACTTCCTTTGTGTGGATATGCTTCCCTTGAGCGTGCAGATACTGTTGCTACAGCTACAGAAACGCTGCGTTC